CACCATGTCCTTTCACTTGTGAGGCATCTGCAGCGGCCCGTCCATGGTGCTCAGGGCGTACTCGATGAGCTTGATGAAACCACGAACCGCGATCTCTTGCATGCACTTTGACGCTGCCAGGTTTCACTGTGCTGCAGACATCTTGTCTTCCTCCTTGACTGCTAGAGCAGAGTGGACGAGTGGTATCGGCTGAAGCATCTTGAGGGCAGGCTGGGTCATAGTCATGTTGCCGTAGGTGCCACAGAACTTCCGTAAGGCGAACATGACGTCCTCCGAGAGATCGATGAGAAGCATGGGCGCCTTCTGTGACTTGGAAAAATCGACTGCCATCGTGATTTGCGGGATGCTGCTGTGTCGAACTCGGAGACCACCGGGGTGTGTGCGTGGCGTGTGTGTGGTGTGGCGTGTGTCTGGCGTGTGTATGTGTGTGGGCGTCGAAAGTGAANAGGTTTCACTGTGCTGCAGACATCTTGTCTTCCTCCTTGACTGCTAGAGCAGAGTGGACGAGTGGTATCGGCTGAAGCATCTTGAGGGCAGGCTGGGTCATAGTCATGTTGCCGTAGGTGCCACAGAACTTCCGTAAGGCGAACATGACGTCCTCCGAGAGATCGATGAGAAGCATGGGCGCCTTCTGTGACTTGGAAAAATCGACTGCCATCGTGATTTGCGGGATGCTGCTGTGTCGAACTCGGAGACCACGGGGGTGTGTGCGTGGCGTGTGTGTGGTGTGGCGTGTGTGTGGTGTGGCGTGTGTCTGGCGTGTGTATGTGTGTGGGCGTCGAAAGTGAAAACTACAGTTGTGTGCGCCAGCTGGTGTGCGCGTGTTGCTCGTGAGACTGCGTGAGAGAGAAGGGGGGCCCGTGCCGCGTGCTTTATGAAAACGAACCAAAACGCCTTCGAAACTCACAGTCCCGCCGAAGTTTATTTTCTCGTTCCCATAACAGCGGTACTCGAATCTTCCTCTGACAAATATTCGCACGCAAATGTTTGGAAACATTTGAAGATTTTTTTCAAAGATTCGGTGACCATAAACATGGGCCTGACCAATGGAAATATCGTTGCTGCCTGCGTCCTCCATGACCAATAAATTAGTGACTAGAAGGACCGAAGGTCGTATGTTGCCAATGTAGTGTCTGCCGCTGGACCTATGCACAACGGTCGCACGTGACATTTGTCTTGCTTGATTCGTCCCACCCCGTCCCCCCCGGTGTTCACCATTTGGGGGATGGGTTTTCGTCGCTTGGCAACGACGTTGTAAAACAAGCCGCCGCTCCCGGTGTTTGCCATCGGGATTGGGTTTTCGTCGCTTGGCAACGACGTTGTAACACAAGCCAAGTCACTTCGTGAGCTCGGCAACCAGGTTACCGTTTATTTTTTTTTACCTCTGTTTTTTTTTGGCGGTAACCATATGGTGGTCGAGTAGATCATGTTGTGCGGGGTGCTGCTCCGCGCTAGGGGGATGATCGCACCACAATGTGTTCAAGTGGTCAAGCACCCTCGAGGCAGTTACACAGTGCTTGTAACTGTCTCNCAACAACAACATCAACAACATCAACAACATCACCACCACCAACAACAACAAGAGGAGCAAGATCAGCGCCAGCAGCAACAACAAGACGGGATTCCTCAGCCGCGACCCCAGCTCTTGCTGCAGCGCAGGGCCACGCTGAACTACGCCATCACGTCGCCATTCGACTCTTCCGACGCAAAGGTCGTGCAGGAGCACACCCTGCTCGACGATCGCCACCAAGAGGGCGGCGGCGGCGGGATCTGCTACACGGAGAGGGACTGCATCACGGGTTTTCCCATGGTTCCGGGTGACCTTTCCGTAAAGCCGACGTTCCTGGTTACCCGGGTGGACGACGGGGGGCACACGGAGCGCGTTCACGTGAGGGTAGAGGTCGTTGTGAAGGAGACCGAGCTCCCGAAACGGCTACGGTTTTTGAGCAAGAGGGTGAGCGACATCGTCGGAGACGGCGGGAGAAAGCAAGCGGAGAAGTGGCTAGGGGAGATGGTCAAGGAGGGGTCGCCGGTGGCAGACCCATGACGACGAAGACCAGTTTTCTTTGTTCTATGTACAACGCATTCAGGTGTTGTCGTGCATTGGAGATACACTGACTTTGTTCGTGTCCCCCGATACGGCCCGTGCGCAACGAGATACGAAGCACACTCGAAAACAAAGAGAGAGAGACTTTGTTTGCAGGGGACAGAATATGATGGTGTCTTCCCGGGTGCAGATATCTCTCAAGGTTCAGGAGATGGGGGCTCCGTGGTGGTATTTTTGTGGTGAGGGTACCGGTGTATACTATGTGCGTGTTGTTTTTTGTTACCATTGCCCTTGAGGTGATTGGCAATGCATCGGGTGCGAAAGGAGCAGATTGCTTGCGGGATGTTGGATGTACAATGGCACGGCGGGAGGGCGTGCGTGCGTTTGTGTGTTCTCTGGTTGTCACAGATCGAGGTTTTACCGGTGGTTTCCAGAGAACCGAAACGAACAAGATTCGATAAGGCAAGACAATTAGACTGGGTGAAATGTGGCACGAAAGAAAGGCAATCGAGTGCGTTTGTTTACGGCGTCGCGGTGGCATCGCTGGACGACAAGGTGGCGAGTTTGCTAACCCAGCAGTGGTAGCAGCAGGCAGACGTTAGTCGGCAGTAGGGGCCAGTCCCCCTTGGAGTGAAGAAGACCCCGCCTCCATGAAAAGCTGGGGGGAGAGGAGTGCCAAACCGACAAACGGCGGTGCGTGCGGCACTTGAAGTCATTGAAACCACAATACTTATTGTGCGTGTGGCAAACTGCTGCTTGGTTGTTATGATACATGTAGTTTGCTTCAGGATGATCGAAACTGACTGGCATGTGCATGATGCGTGTCGTGATCCTTCGCTTTCCGACGTCTTCTACGCGCTTGGCGACGGCCATCATCGAGCCTTCGATTAAGGTCGAATAATATTCACATTTTTCCCCAGTGGTTCTCGCTCTCCGATGTCTCGTACTCCCAAAGGGTGTTGGCGACGGGCATCATCGAATCGAACGTCGAGTTTTTCGTGTAGCCTAGCTATGCGTTGTCGTTGTTCTCGCCTGAACCGACCACCAAGACATCGCGGTCGAGGTAGGCTGCTGTTTGTACCGCGCGATGCTCTCCTCACGCCGCCCGAGAGTAGCATGCACTACGGGTGTTCACTGTTCCTAATCTTGACGATAGCTCCTGTTAGTCCTTCTCCGTCTCAAGCCACAGAAGTGGTCCCTTTAGGGTGTTTTGTGTGTGTGTCCTGGGGTGTACCGGAAGCTGGGTCCATATAGCAGAGAGGAATTGAATTTTGTCGAGTGGATTAAGCTTCTACCCGGAGAATATGGGGACTGTGTTTCAAGGTCGGGAACAGTAGAGGTCTTGATGTCTGATCGGGGATTGGTGCTCTGTGCCGCGGAACACGGGCATTGCAAAGCGAACCACAGATAAGACTACTGGAGTTTGGGAAACCCTGAAACTTAGGTAGGCATGCCATCCCGTGAAAAACTAGCGGCTGCTGGGCAGCTAGACACGAGAGGCTCGCAAAGCTGATGCAGGCAGTTGTCATGTTTCAAACGAAGCCAGTGGTCAATAACGACATGAGGGGTGATTCGAGTAGCGGAAGCCCGCCCGTGTTACAGAGTGAAAAGCACTGCACCAAGCAGAAAATGCACTCAACTCGTCGACCCGCCGACGAAAGGTGAGCGCTTCATATAAATATATTTAATTCGTCTTTCGTCACAACGTGTCACATCATCATCGTCTAGACATCTCAACTCCTTGTGCACGAAAAGTTCTCGATCTGGCAACGCATCGTCATCGACCATCGTCTCCTCATCTCAACTCCATGTGCAAGAAAGCTCTCCATCTTCGCTCAGATTCTCACAAGACGGCAGGACAACTACAACATCAGACGATGATTTCGGAGGGGGGGGGGGAGGAACAAGTTACATCAAACAAGAAGTGAACGGTGATCAATCTAGAACTTACCGTCTACATCACCGCGGGACGAGATAGCGAGAGTCGTACGTGCACAAAATTGTGGGTGTTTCCACCGACTACAACCAACCCTGTTGCTGCAGTTCGGCCGAATCGGCGTTGTAAAGGACGCTAGCGAAGGCGTTTCAAGGCGAAGGTAATTGGAACAGACCAGGACGACAGTGTCCACTCGACACCGCCGTCCGTAAAACTTCCGTGTGCTTCATGCACACCCCCGTCCCCGAGCAACCAACACGCCAAATACGCTGGTACGAAACCCGAATAGGCTGCATCTTCAAAATCTCCGTGATCTCCGTTTTCCCGGGCAAGGCATAGACGAGCCTTCGCCACATGGATGAAAGTGGGTGCATGCAACACCCCTCAACCCACATCACGAATGAGCCCGGTGCGTCCAATACACCGTCGCCGCAGCGTCCCTCTATCTTTTCATCCGGTACAGCGGGACAAATGCGGGACAACTCGTCTTGCGTGTGTGGGGAGTGACAAGCACACATCACACCCATCGGCAGCCCTTCGTGTCTACTTGTACCTCAAACCAGCACACGAAGCACTCCAGTACGTCGAAGGACAACGAACGACGTACAAGTTGACCCGTTGTACCCCGTCAGACACAGCCGTATACCAACGTTAGCGTACGTGTGTCAATCCTCTGGCCCGTTCTTGCTTTTTCTGGCGCACGCAGGTCAAAACGCCATGGCCCGGTCTACACCCTGCATTACAACGAAACTGCAATCATACCAATTATTCACTACCCAGCCTGATGCTTGATGCGATTCCCACCTTCGCATCAGCACATGATACACAGCGGGTAATCCCCCCCCCCCCAATCTCCTCATGCCACTGCACAATCGAACCGCCTGTATAGAAGAACCCCACCCTATCGTTGAACACCGCCGTTTCAACAAAGCATCCGTTTTCCCTGCTTCGTTCGTGCCCCCTGTTGCACAGAAAAAAAAAGCCGTAGATGACATTTTTTCAATAGAGCCAGTGCGAGAACAACATCAACCAACTGAAAGAGAGGGACAGACAGACGACACACACAGAGGTGAGCTCATCGACAAAAGAATCCTCCAAGGCTTCCCGTTCACAATCCTAGACCTTGCTGCATCCTCCGTGCCGCCGCCGCGGGGTTTCCGAAGCGAGGAGGCCGGGCCACACATGCGCATCCACTCCGCTACCTGCAGCCGCAATCTCACTCCCCATCCCCCTTCACGCTTGGTGATATGTGCTAGCCTGAACCGGTAAAAACCCGGCGTCCTCCGTCCCGGGTTTGTAAGGATGCGAGGTCAACGGTCCACGGCATGCACGGCAACGAGTACACTCCCCCCTTCCCCCCCGCTGAGAGTTGTTGCCCACTTCCACCTCGCAGGTCTCTCTCTCTGTCTCTCTCTCAGCCCTTCGGCTTGGTCAGCTCTCAGGCTTGGTATTGTCACCCCTTTTTTTGACACCATCCTCGTACTCGTCAGCCGTCCAGCCCCACACAAACCCTACCCGAGCAAGAAGGGGCCCGAAGGAAATAATTGTTGGATCGATTCGGGTCAAGGGAGGTTGAAGTTCACATGCATACTTGTATGACACCACGTGATTCTGTCGAGTACAGGTCTTGGCATTAGAACCGGCCCGCAGCGAACAGCACGAGCACCGAGAGAAACACATGCCTCCTCCACCCACATCGCCCCGAACCTATACCTCAGAAACTTCGGTAAGTTGTTACCTTGGTAAGTTGTTGTCTTCGAACAAAAAAAACGCTCCGGTCTCCGCTCGGCACCTTTTAGCGTCCGTGCTGGTCAAAATGACGCGGACGCCTTCCGTGGCCGGCACACAGGTAGAAGAGCAGACTTCCTTTGGACGTGAACGAAATAGCGAAATAGCCCATGCGTCCTAGCACGCGTTGTACACTTACCTCCTCCCCCTTGTGGCACACGACACAACACAAGCGCTGAATCGAACCTTCACCTCAGCGACTCCTTCGGTCAAATCTACTACATATATACAAGCCACATCAGAGCACCTCTGGACGTGAAGAAAAACAGCCCATGCGTCATACAATAGCACGCCTGGTATAGCTACTTCTGTACCTCCTTTTCGACGGCCAACAGGTGAGCCCGGGGGGAGATGCTGCCTTGGGTCCGGAATTTCCTGAGGTTAGACTTTGCCTTGCTAGTAACCTGACCAATCATATCCACCGGCGGCGAAAAACAGACGTATTTTTTCGAACGCATACTGCTGTTAGTGTTGTGTGATTTCAACCAACAGTTTCATACTGGCACGAAACGTACGGCAACAGAAACGAGGGTGTGTGTTAATGTGTAGATTTCCGACGACTTCACTCGTCCAAACAAACCAACGTGATACAAGAAGAACAGGCGTGACATTTTCGATAAAAATAGACCATCTGACCGTCAGCGCTGACTAATCAGATGGTCTAATTTTATCGAATAAAAGTTATGCTCAGAGCTCATTAGCACCCGGCTGGATCACATGTGGGTTAGTGAGCGTGTGGCGATCTCCGTGGCCGGACCCCTCCAAGGCGTGCTTACACAAGTTCCGCGCCCGGGTTCGAATCCCTGTTTTCCACTTACACAAGACTATCCATGTATCTACCGATCAGCGTCTGGCGAGGCGTCCGGCCCCGGAGATCGCTATACACTCACCAACCTACATACATGTGATCCAGCCGGGTGCTAACGAGCTGAGCGCATATCGAATAAAATACAGAACCCCCTCCACCCTCATACAACGGAACTCCCGCTTACCTACTGTACCATTCTCCACCAAGGAACCAAGCCTACTCGAGCCAACACCAAAACCTACTATCACACTGTACCGCTGGGAAGGACCGCTCTCGCGAGGATTCTACAATAAATTATGAAATAGAGAGGGGTGGTTCGTACCCCAATTCCTAACCCTAACCCTACCCCCTGCCAAAGCCAAGCGTAATGTCCCCCGCGGAGCCCCTCCCCCTCGCTGCCCACCTTCCCCTTGTCAAGCTCGCGCTTCACGAGCGAGGCGTATCGCTGGAAGTGCGACGACGCGATGTCCTTGTGGAAACCCGCGTCGTACTCCTCCGGCTTCCAGCCCTGCTCGAACAGCAGCCGGTTGTGCTCCTCGTCCGGGATGGCGTGCATCTCGCGGTACAGCTCTAGCTTTTCCTTCTCCGCCTTCTGGATCACCCCTCCCCCGAGGGCGGCCAGGAGGAGGAAGCGATACCGCTCCTTCTCGGCGATGCTCGCCTCCTCCACGAAATCCGCCATCTCTTCCGAGTCGTACGGGATAAGGTCAGGCACGGCGGTGCCGTCCACGTCATAACGGTCGCCCCAGTTGTTGCCCTTCCCGGCCTCGTACTTGTCCGCTGTCCAACCCTATGAGGGGGGCACCGTGGAATCATCGAGGAACGGCGTGCTTGCGAGAGAGAATATTGATTGATCACACGGCGTGCTTGCCGACGAGAGAACGGTTGTTGAGCGTTTCCTACCGACTAAAGGGGCGTTCGCTTGAGAGCAACAATGGCAATGGGAGGGGGCAGCTAAGTGAGGTTGCAGCTGTTGTAAACTAGGCCGGAAAACGGGATGGGGAATACGCCTCCCCTGCATAAGTTGTTCAACCGCATCATGTACGACGAACGACTCGATGCCAGCGACGGTTGAAGCGTCCAGTCTTGTTGAATACAAAGCACACGGGCGGGACACAAGAAATCATCGTGAACGATGATAATTCTCATCCACCATGACTTCTTCTCTCCCG